CAATAAATGTGGACAGTGTGTATCAATATATGTGCCCTGTGTATGTCAATATATGTGCCCTGCGTGTATCAATATATGTGACTGTGTGTATCAATATATGTGACTGTGCGTACCAATATATGTGACTGTGCGTATCAATATATGTGACTGTGTGTATCAATATATGTGACTGTGTGTATCAATATATGTGACTGTGTGTATCAATATATGTGACTGTGTGTATCAATATATGTGACCCGTGTATCGAGACCTACATTATGAATCTCGGAGCATCATTTCCCAGTATCCGTGAAGCAATGCGTCCACTAGGTTCTTATTAAGTCTGTAATTATTTCATCACTGTTGCTAATTTCATAAATCCCTTACAGTTGATGTCTTTACTATACAGTTGCCTTGATGATTGTTATCGATAATACATTTAAAGGTTTTGTAATGTAAAATTTCTCTTCTTTCTGGAACGGATCAGTTTCGTGACGAGGTTTTGCTTGGAAAGAGTTCTAAATGCTATTTCAACCATTGACTCTTGCTCCCGTTATGAAAAATAGCAACTGTGAGCGCTTCCTTTCCTTCTACGCCTTACCCAACTGGGGTACGTGGGTTTATTTGTCATCATTAGAAACACAAGCGCGGTGTTTATACGAAGGTAAACCCCATCACGCCTTACCAATGCTGAGTTGATATGTACAAATCCTGCTGTGTTTAGAAGTACGATACACAAATTGGCAATCGAAATGAAAATAAATAATATCAAATTGAGCAATAATATCAATATGCAATGGAACAATGTCAGAGAACGTGCTGAAAACTTCAGTACTATTTTTAAGTGATCACATGTCTTGCCAGGTAATGTGTTCCTGGACTGATAAGATACACACACTCGTGACGAGTTTCACGTTTGACATCTCGCTGACATCTCGCTGACAGGGCCATGTTATTGGAACAGTTGTCAAAGTTTGTTTGAAACACACTCAAGTTGAATACGTTTAGAGTTTATGATAATATCAAGAGCCCATAGTGTTGCTCCAGTCATCAAACAATGTCCGATGCAATCGTTTTGACTGGCACCATATGTTGCCGTGTTTGTTTAACTGAAAACCTACTTGCCTGTGCATGTGTTTATGACGAATGTCACCGGTTGAACAGGATACGGAGGGCATGACAGCAGTTGCTTTGTAAGTCATCGTTCTTATCTGGAGCCAAACGGACTGTAATTGATAGTGATTCACAAACACATTCCTATGATATGATTGAACCCGTACAACGGACGGATATGTCTGATGATTAGCAAAATGGTTTTGTCGATTTTATAGATAATATCTTTTTTAGCTGAAGGGGAAGTTGGGTAGCCTAGTGGTTACAATGTTGGCTCGTCACGCCGAAGGCCCATGATTGATTCCAACATGCGTAAGGTATGAATCCAATTTCTGGTGGCAACCGAAGTGATATTGCTTGACTATTGCTAACAGCGGCCTAAACTTGAACTCCGTTAATCATTTAAACATTTTATTGCTTCTTTCCGCCGGGGTGTCTCAGACGATCCTTCACAAAGTCCAATTTATACACATCCCATCACCCATGTGAACACAACACAAGACATTACTATTTGACGTCACATTTATTCACAACTCGTCCACGGACATACCATTTGATATATAACACTCTCCACGGGACAAACACGGCACATTCAATATTGTATCTTGTCACTGGTCACTTTCCATTATAAAGATACGTCCACGTGTTGTGTCCCTGCATTAGGAGTTGTTCAGCACAAGTCCTAGAGGGTTGTCTACATGGACGTGATGATGCCCAGGCTTGTCTCAGTACCGGCGACATACTTATCGTAAAGCATGCATGTATTCACCACAATTTGTCAAAAACAAATGTTATCTGAAGTTTACTGTAAAAACAACACATGTATTTGCATCGCTGGACTTCCTCATTGATAATATCTATGTGAAATTTGGGCAACAGACATTTTTCGAAGAAGTAGGCATCCCAGTGGGCACCCGTTGTGTTGCCCTTCTTGCTTATCTGTTTCTTTATGCACATGAATCGAAATATCAGCTCGGATTTTCAAAATCAAAACACGGGGATTTGACCAAGCTGTTTAACATAAGCTTCAGGTGATCAGATATTGTTCCACAACGGCCAAATAGCCAATGGTGTAGCTACCTGAGCTATAAATAAAAGACACCAGTGAAACCGCCTCCTTAGTTTCACATTAAAAGCCCTGCATAACTAAAATTCAGAGTGACAAACAAACACTGTGTGACAAGGGTGATGACTTCAACTTTCCAACTGTTAACTTTTCCTTTCTGTCGAGCAATATTCCAGCAGCTCCAGCCTTTAGTGTTTCCATTTTACAACTTGTAACATGCTCTGTCCATGAATATATTAAAGATCGCCATATACTTCTCTTGTTGCTTGATTAAGGCAACATTCAAGGCTTTAGTGAAGCTTTCCAAGTTTGTTATAGAAGACACGTGGAGGACATTTCCAAACTTGACGCATGAGTGATCGAAATGATGTCTGATACAATTCCCATTTAACATTTCACAACTTGAGCGGTACAATCGAGAACCACGTGTGTCTTCTGTCAGAGTGATGTGTGTCTTTGTATGCAAGTATTATATCAAGCGACAGGCAGCGTGTGGACATAATGTGAAGCAGAGTTCCAGTGTTTGGCTCACGAAGACAAAAAGATTTTTGATGAAAATAAAAGCACAACATCATACTATGAATATCTAGGTCACTCACTCACTCACTCACTCACTCACTCACTCACTCACTCACTCACTCACTCACTCAATCACTCAATCAATCACACAATCACTCAATCACACACTCAATCACTCATTCACTCAATCACTCACTCAATCACTCCCTCCCTTAAAGGCATGTTTCAGTTACAACAGGAAGGTTCCACCCACAACACAAACACATGTATTTATAATAAACCCGTTCCTACCACGTCTTTGTGTTATGTGTGGTTTATAATAAACCCATTCCTTTAATGTGTTTGTGTCACTGACATTTTGTTTATTATTTAGTTCAATCCATTACATTACCTGCACACAATCCACTCTCTGTACCATCCACTGTGTATAACCTACATACAGTCCACGCTCTGTACCATCCACTGTGTATTTCCTACATACATTCCACTCTCTGTATCCTCCACTGTGTATCACCTACATACAGTCCACACTCTATACCATCGACTGTGTATCACCTTCATACAGCCAACTCTCTGTATCCTCCACTGTGTATCACCTACATACAGCCCACTCTCTGTATCCTCCACTGTGTATCACCTACATACAGTCCACACTCTGTACCATCCAATGTGTATCACCTACACACAGCCCACTCTCTGTATCCTCCACTGTGTATCACCTACATACAGTCCACACTCTGTACCAGCCATTGTGTATCACCTACATTCAGTCCTCTCTCTGTCTCCTCCACTGTGTATCACCTACATACAGTCCACACTCTGTACCATCGACTGTGTATCACCTACATACATTCCACTCTCTGTATCCTCCACTATGTATCACCTACATACAGTCCACACTCTGTACCATCGACTGTGTATCACCTACATACATTCCACTCTCTGTATCCTCCACTGTGTATCACCTACATAGAGTCCACACTCTATACCATCGACTGTGTATCACCTACATACATTCCACTCTCTGTAAAATCCACTGTGTATCACCTACATACAGTCCACACTCTGTACCATCGACTGTGTATCACCTACATACATTCCACTCTCTGTATCCTCAACTGTGTATCACCTACATACAGTCCACACTCTATACCATCGACTGTGTATCACCTACATACATTCCACTCTCTGTATCCTCAACTGTGTATCACCTACATACAGTCCACACTCTGTACCATCGACTGTGTATCACCTTCATACATTCCACTCTCTGTATCCTCCACTATGTATAACCTACATACAGTCCACACTCTATACCATCGACTGTGTATCACCTGCATACAGTCCACACTCTGTATCCTCCACTGTGTATCACCTACATACAGTCTACACTCTGTACCAGCCACTGTGTATCACTAACATACAGTCCACACTCTGTATCCTCCACTGTGTATTACCTACATACAGTCCACACTCTGTACCAGCCACTGTTTATCACCTACATACAGTCCACACTCTGTATCCTCCACTGTGTATTACCTACATACAGTCCACACTCTGTACCAGCCATTGTGTATCACTTACATACATTCCACACTCTGTACCAGGCATTGTGTATCACCTACATACAGCCCACTCTCTGTATCCTCCACTGTGTATCACCTACATAAAGTCCACACTCTGTACCAGGCATTGTGTATCACCTACATTCAGTCCACTCTCTGTATCCTCCACTGTGTATCACCTACATACAGTCCACACTCTATACCATCGACTGTGTATCACCTACATACATTCCACTCTCTGTATCCTCCACTGTGTATCACCTACATACTGTCCACACTCTGTACCATCGACTGTGTATCACCTACATACAGCCCACTCTCTGTATCCTCCACTGTGTATCACCTACATACAGCCCACTCTCTGTATCCTCCACTGTGTATCACCTACATACAGTCCACACTCTGTACCATCCAATGTGTATCACCTACACACAGCCCACTCTCTGTATCCTCCACTGTGTATCACCTACATACAGTCCACACTCTGTACCAGCCATTGTGTATCACCTACATTCAGTCCTCTCTCTGTCTCCTCCACTGTGTATCACCTACATACAGTCCACACTCTGTACCATCGACTGTGTATCACCTACATACATTCCACTCTCTGTATCCTCCACTATGTATCACCTACATACAGTCCACACTCTGTACCATCGACTGTGTATCACCTACATACATTCCACTCTCTGTATCCTCCACTGTGTATCAACTACATAGAGTCCACACTCTATACCATCGACTGTGTATCACCTACATACATTCCACTCTCTGTAAAATCCACTGTGTATCACCTACATACAGTCCACACTCTGTACCATCGACTGTGTATCACCTACATACATTCCACTCTCTGTATCCTCAACTGTGTATCACCTACATACAGTCCACACTCTATACCATCGACTGTGTATCACCTACATACATTCCACTCTCTGTATCCTCAACTGTGTATCACCTACATACAGTCCACACTCTGTACCATCGACTGTGTATCACCTTCATACATTCCACTCTCTGTATCCTCCACTATGTATAACCTACATACAGTCCACACTCTATACCATCGACTGTGTATCACCTGCATACAGTCCACACTCTGTATCCTCCACTGTGTATCACCTACATACAGTCTACACTCTGTACCAGCCACTGTGTATCACTAACATACAGTCCACACTCTGTATCCTCCACTGTGTATTACCTACATACAGTCCACACTCTGTACCAGCCACTGTTTATCACCTACATACAGTCCACACTCTGTATCCTCCACTGTGTATTACCTACATACAGTCCACACTCTGTACCAGCCATTGTGTATCACTTACATACATTCCACACTCTGTACCAGGCATTGTGTATCACCTACATACAGCCCACTCTCTGTATCCTCCACTGTGTATCACCTACATAAAGTCCACACTCTGTACCAGCCATTGTGTATCACCTACATTCAGTCCACTCTCTGTATCCTCCACTGTGTATCACCTACATACAGTCCACACTCTATACCATCGACTGTGTATCACCTACATACATTCCACTCTCTGTATCCTCCACTGTGTATCACCTACATACTGTCCACACTCTGTACCATCGACTGTGTATCACCTACATACAGCCCACTCTCTGTATCCTCCACTGTGTATCACCTACATAAAGTCCACACTCTGTACCAGCCATTGTGTATTACCTACATTCAGTCCACTCTCTGTATCCTCCACTGTGTATCACATACATACAGTCCACACTCTGTACCAGCCATTGTGTATCACCTACATTCAGTCCACTCTCTGTATCGTCCACTGTGTATCACCTACATACAGTCCACACTCTATACCATCGACTGTGTATCACCTACATAGAGCCCACTCTCTGTACCATCCACTGCGTATCACCTACATACAGTCCACATTCTGTACCATCCACTGTGTATCACCTACACACAGCCCACTCTCTGTATCCTCCACTGTGTATCACCTACATACATGCCACACTCTGCACCAGCCACTGTGTATCACCTACATTCAGTCCACTCTCTGTATCCTCCACAGTGTATCACCTACATACAGTCCACACTCTGTACCATCGACTGTGTATCACCTTCATACAGCCCACTCTCTGTATCCTCCACTGTGTATCACCTACATACAGTCCACACTCCATACCATCGACTGTGTATCACCTTCATACAGCCCACTCTCTGTATCCTCCACTGTGTATCACCTACATACAGTCCACACTCTGTACCATCGACTGTGTATCACCTTCATATAGCCCACTCTCTGTACCATCCACTGTGTATCACCTACATACAGTCCACACTCTATACCATCGACTGTGTATCACCTACATACATTCCACACTCTGTATCCTCCACTGTGTATCACCTACATACAGTCCACACTCTGTACCAGGCATTGTGTATCACCTACATACAGTCCACTCTCTGTATCCTCTACTGTGTATCACCTACATACAGTCCACACTCTGTACCAGCCACTGTGTATCACTTACATACATTCCACTCTCTGTATCCTCCACTGTGTATCACCTACGTACAGTCCACACTCTGTACCAGCCACTGTGTATCACTTACATACATTCCACACTCTGTACCAGGCATTGTGTATCACCTACATACAGTCCACACTCTGTACCAGCCACTGTGTATCACTTACATACATTCCACACTCTGTACCAGGCATTGTGTATCACCTACATACAGTCCACACTCTGTACCAGCCACTGTGTATCACTTACATACATTCCACACTCTGTACCAGGCATTGTGTATCACCTACATACAGTCCACACTCTGTACGTGGTTACTGGCCCGTGTGCTGTGGTAGTACCTGGATCCCCCTGAGTCAAAGTGACTGGACGCCTCCCTGTCCAGGTGGTCGGCATGGAAGGGGACATTGGCGTCTTTCTCCTTCATTTTCCGCAGTTGAATGAAGCGCAACATTCTCTTGAAACCATTCCTAAACTTTGGGTTCATCCAGAAGTAGACGAAGGGATTGTAGCAGGAGTGACTGGTTGCCAGCCACTGGATGGCGAGAAAGACGATGTTCATGTAGCTGTCGTTGTAGATGCTCTGGTCGCGGTCGCCCACCAGTGTGAGGACGTGCAGCGGCAGCCAACACACAGCGTAGATCAGCACCACGACGATGATCATCTTCACCATCTGTGGATGGGAATACAGACGTCGTTAAGGGGGACATGCATACATATTATCACACAATTAATGATCAGATGCTTGCAGTCATTATTTCATTTTGGCCCTTTCGAACCCAAATACTGGAGGTATGTGTGAACACACATTGCAATTTAGAAAGTGGTCAGATGTAACAAATGTTATATTTGGGATAACACTTTCTTTATAAAGTACAGATTCTCGTACTTTTTCGGGTTGAGTCCCGTCCGGGATTCCAACCCACACTGCCAGAGTGTGGCATCTAATCGCCAGCACGAAAGGTCAGCGATCTAACCCACTCAGCCACCGAGGCTTCCACAAAAATGAAAGTCCGACAACTGGTAGTCTAGATCACGTACTTTGAGTGCGCCTCTGACAAGTGTAAATTGGCACGGCTCCCATGGCCGAAGCTATGAACACACAATGCCATTTAGAAAAGGGTAAAATGTAACAAATGTTATATTTGGGATAACACTTTCTTTGTAAAGTACAGATTCTCGTACTTTGGGGGTTGTTTTACGGGAAGCTGTCACAATGGAGAAATAATGAGGTGCCTCTCTAGGCGGGAAACAGAACACACTTAAAATATATCATGTTGTCATGTTGTCATACTCACTCACACAATCACTCACTCACTCATCACAATTACATGACTAAATTGCCCGAGTTCCCCTTCTTAACCCAACAAGCTGTATCCGCTCTTGCAATGTGTTTTCAGAATGGAAGTTCTTTGAACGCTATTTAGAATGGAAGTTGTTCATATGATATTTATGGCAGAGGCTAGTAAGGACGATGCATGTCCAACACTGTTATAACTTGCGATGACCCATTCGTCACCCCGTGAGCGGTGTGACGAGCCAGTTACCAAGACGGGCGTCCACCCATCTTCTCTGAGAGCAAAAGACAAGGGATGGCTGTAGAGTTCTGAGCCTAACTCTGATGCACTGCGTTTATGGAGTTGGCTTCTAAGTATTCCGCAACATAATCCCGAAGTACATAAACGATGGTGAAGTGCCTGGATCCCACAGGTGTAGGATTACCCATGTTGGTGTCAAACTGTAACAAGTCCTCCACAGCAGAAATAACGCCAACAGCATTAGCATATTGTTTGCAAGACAGTTCTGTCTTCAACTGAGGGAAGAGGTGGAAATCTGACGGTGCAAATTCTGGTGAATCGGGAGGATGTTAAATGAATTCAAAGCTCCTATCATGAATTGCAGATTGCCGATGTGACATTCATTCGTAACTCATTCACTCACTCATGGACTGCATGGACCTTACACATGTGCATTGTCTTGGGGAAACAGCACATCCTTGGAGCGTGTTCCACGACGTTTAGCCTTGATATCTGGACACAGCTGCCTGATCACACCAGCATGATCGTGGTCATTAATCGTGTAAGAAGACGCATGCAATTACATGATTGGTTTATCTAGAGATCTAAAGAGGCGATCCTTATCACACGTGCTAACTGAAACCATCGTCGGTGTCTTAAAGTCAAAGGTAACAGTAACGGCGCTCTGTAGTTTTGTGCATTACCAGCTCATAACATGCTTCATTACATCCTCAGAAAACGTCCATGGTGAATAGGTAATAATAGGCATAAAACATGTCTTAATGTCAAAAAACTGTTACACGTCCCTTTTCTGCTTTAACTGCACAGTGGGTTATAGACAGTACACAGGGGAACAACATCACTTAAATACAACATGTGTTATGCCCAGTCCGCAGGGGAACAGCATAATATAAATACACAGTATGTTATACAAACTTGGGTTCTACACAATCCTCGGGGGAACAGCATCAAAGTAAACACACCATGGTGTCAATTTATGATTTGTTGACTTTGTGGCAGGGGATAATAAAATACACTGTGGGTTAATACAGTCCAGAGGGGAACACTACCACTTAAACACAACATGGATTATACACAGTCCAGAGGGGAACACTACCATTTAAACACAACATGGGTTAATACAGTCCAGAGGGGAACACTACCACTGAAACACAACATGTGTTGTACACAGTCCAGAGGGGAACACTACCACTTAAACGAAACATGGGTTAATACAGTCCAGAGGGGAACACTACCACTTAAACACAACATGGGTTATACACAGTCCAGAGGGGAACACTACCACTTAAACACAACATGGGTTGTACACAGTCCAGAGGGGAACACAACCACTTAAACACAACATGGATTATACACAGTCCAGAGGGGAACACTACCACTTAAACACAACATGGGTTAATACAGTCCAGAGGGGAACACTACCACTTAAACACAACATGGGTTAAAAACAGTCCAGAGGGGAACACTACCACTTAAACACAACATGGGTTGTACACAGTCCAGAGGGGAACACTACCACTTAAACACAACATGGATTAAACACAGTCCAGAGGGGAACACTACCACTTAAACACAACATGGGTTAAAACAGTCCAGAGGGGAACACTACCACTTAAACACAACATGGGTTGTACACAGTCCAGAGGGGAACACTACCACTTCAACACAACATGGATTATACACAGTCCAGAGGGGAACACTACCACTTAAACACAACATGGGTTAATACAGTCCAGAGGGGAACACTACCACTGAAACACAACATGTGTTGTACACAGTCCAGAGGGGAACACTACCACTTAAACACAACATGGGTTAATACAGTCCAGAGGGGAACACTACCACTTAAACACAACATGGGTTGTACACAGTCCTGAGGGGAACAGTACCACTTAAACACAACATGGGTTAATACAGTGCAGAGGGGAACACTACCACTTAAACACAACATGGGTTATACACAGTCCAGAGGGGAACGCTACCACTTAAACACAACATGGGTTATACACAGTCCAGAGGGGAACACTACCACTTAAACACAACATGGGTTAATACAGTCCAGATGGAAACACTACCACTTAAACACAACATGGGTTATACACAGTCCAGAGGGGAACACTACCACTTAAACACAACATGCGTTATACACAGTCCAGAGGGGAACGCTACCACTTAAACACAACATGGGTTAATACAGTCCAGAGGGGAACACTACCACTTAAACACAACATGGGTTATACACAGTCCAGAGGGGAACACTACCACTTAAACACAACATGGGTTTTACACAGTCCAGAGGGGAACACTACCACTTAAACACAACATGGGTTAATACAGTCCAGAGGGGAACACTACCACTTAAACACAACATGGGTTATACACAGTCCAGAGGGGAACACTACCACTTAAACACAACATGGGTTGTACACAGTCCTGAGGGGAACGCTACCACTTAAATGCAACATGTGTTATAAGCAGTCCGGGGGGGGGGGGGGGGGGGGGGGAGGGCGCTACCACTTAAAAACAACATGGGTTATACACAGTCCTGAGGGGAACACTACCACTGAATGAACCAAAGATAATGTTTTTTCGTAATGGAGGCCCTTTGCGTGCATATGAGAAGTGGTATTTTATGGGAAAACAGATTGATGTTGTATCGTCATATAGATATCTGGGTCTGGTTTTTACGCCGAAACTTGTTTGGAGTAAGGCACATCTTTCACTCACCGCCCAAGCACAAAAAGCTTTATTGGCTATTTATACATATTCCAGGAAATTTGGTAATTTATCATGTAAAGATTTTTTTGAAATATTTGATGCTACAGTTGTACCCATTCTTTGTTATGGTGCAGAGATATGGGGTGTGAATTACTGTAGGAGAGTTGAAAGTGTACAGATAAAGTTATGTAAACAGATACTTAAAGTTGGTAAAAGTTTTACAAATAATATGGTTCTAGGGGAATGTGGAAGAATTCCTCTCCAGTATATTTATATGACAAGAGCAGTTAAATATTGGACTAAACTTATTAATTTAAATGACAACAGATTACCATTTCAATGTTATAGCATGATGTTATCACAGGATGAGAGTGGAAGAGTAAATTGGGTCACACATATAAAACATGTTTCAATTTGGATTTGGATTTGTTTGGGTTGCACAGGATGTGGGTCATATTGATACATTTATTTCAACATTCAAGCAGAGATTGTTTGATAATCTCCATCAAAAATGGGTTGCTGAACTAGGTAGTTCTTCAAAGACATATTATTATAGGCAGTTTAAGTCATTACTCAATGTTGAATGGTATCTATCCTATAATCTACCCTTATCTATCAGGACAGCCATGTCAAGATTTAGATGTGGTAATTATGGACTTGCAATAGAAACGGGACGTTATAATAATATTGAATACTTAATGCGATTGTGCCCTTTTTGTCTCAAGGAAGGTATTTCATCTATTGAAGATGAACATCATGTATTCCTTGTGTGTAAACAGTATACCTAAGAAGTATGTACATTGTTAGGCACTTTAGATCAGCCTCATTACAGGCGTTTATAAGTATTATGTCATCAGATAATTATAATGTTATTCATGATACTTGTCAGTATTTACATAAAGTTTATAAACACAGAATTGCATTCTTAAAGGAAGAGTGATATTTATAGTTCATTTAAACATAATGTTCAATAATATTTATAGTTCATTCAAACACACTATTTATAATGTTAAACAACATGTACCACACTTTCTTGCAAAAGTATTAGGTCATCAGATAATTATGTTATTCATGATACTTGTCAGTATTTACATAAAGTTTATAAACACGGAACTGCACTCTTAAATGATGAGTGATATTTATAGTTCAATGAAACATAATGTCTCAATGTTAAACAACTGTTGGTAATATTTGAAACATGTACCACACTTTCTTGCATATGATTGTACACCTGCCTTTATATTAGCGTAAGCGCAGTACATGTTAATAAAATCAAGCATGTATTATGGGCCTTTGGCCTTTATACTGTAATAAAGAATCTAAATGCAGCATGGGTTATATACAGTCCAGGGGGACACTACCACTTAAACACAACATGGGTTATACACAGTCCGCAGGGGGAAACTATCACTTAAAC